AGTGCAAGATGCTGGGGGATGTCCACTACTACTTGGGGCTGCAGATTGAGAGGGATGTTGAGAGGAGGTGGCTGAAGGTGCATCAGTCACACTACATCTCTGGTGTCATGGAGCGGTATGGTGTGACTGGGGGTCGCACTGTGATGACACCGTTCCCTGCAGGCTTCAAATTGAAGAAGGCAGCAGAGGAGGATGATGTGCTTGAGGATGAGCAGCAGAATCAGTACCAGTCACTCATTGGGAGTGTGATGTATGCAGCTGTGCATACGCGACCTGATGCTTCATTCGGAGTGGGGCAGCTGGCCAGAGTTGTGCAACGGCCCACTGTGGAGCAGTTGGAGGTGGCAAAGCGCTTGGTGCGCTACCTTGGATCAACGGCATCTGCTGGTGTTCAGTTTTCAGCTGGCGGCCAGCTGAAACAGATTGGAGCAGATGGGGTCACGCCTGGTACCTTGAAGCTGTCGTGTTTCACCGACGCCACATGGGCCTCAGAGGATGAGGATCAGTCATCAGTTGGCGGCTTTGTGTGCATGGTCGGAGGTGGACCAGTGAGCTGGAGGTCCAAGAAGCAGAGTGAGATTGCTCAGTCTTCCGGAGAGGCAGAGTACATGGCGATGTACCATGCCATCAAGGAAATCATGCTCCTGAGGAAGCTGTTGGAGGACATGGGAGCTGAACAGGAGGGACCTACACCACTTTTCTCCGACAGCGAGGCTGCTATTCGCATGGCCAATAATCCTATCCTGAATGGGCTGAACAAGCACATGAAGATTAAGTGGCACTGGGTGAGGCAGATGGTGAAGGAGGGAGCTGTTGAGCTTCACCATGTGAAGGCTAGCAAGCAGGCGGCAGATTTTCTCACCAAGAGACTTCCCGAGAGCGCACATTGGAAGTGTGCTAAGATGTGTGGCATGGCATTGCACTAGTGAGGGCAGCAGTATCATGAATGCATGTGTGATTGTGTGCATGAGACTATGCATGTGTCGGAGTGTGTGTGCATGCAGTCCATTAGTCTGAGGGGGAGTTTGTTGGATGCACGTCATTCTGAGTGCATGTCATCCTAACGTCCTGCCGAGTGCTCGTGCTATTTGTGCTTGCATGATTTGCATGAGCGTATGTCATTGTGCATGGCTGTTGGATATTATCATCTCTGTGTTTTTCTCCAAGTTTAAATGCTTGATCATGCAGGAGAAATCCAGAGCTTTCCAACGATACCAAGATCGCCTTATTCCGACCAAGATTGCCCAAGTTACAAGATTTCCAAGATTTGGATTTCTTATTACCTTTTGGGGTTATATCTAATTTGGGTGATTACTTGGGACATGACTATAAAGGGATCTTTGGTTGGGTGGTTAGGAAGCCAACTTTGACTTTTGGATTGGGGTGGCTAGAAGTTTCTAGCATGGGTTGCAAATGTTGCAACACCTAGGCAAAATCCAACTAGATTGGATTTTGCATGTGACACCTCAAGGACCTCATGATGAGGGTTGCATCCTTGCTGCTAGGAAGGTTCTTACCATCCTTCCCTAGCTCTTGGAGAACCCCTTCCCTCTCATGGTTCTCTTGAAGGTTCCCAACTCCAACTTCCTATGCCCTAATGCTTGTACTTCCTCCACCATTCTAGTCATGCGGCTGCTGGACGTTTTCACTTGGTTCTCACTCTCTAGACCATCTTTACAACTGATTCAACTTGGAGATGGTAGCTAAGCTTAAGGCGCAACTTCCTACTGAGCGGATTTGCGTTTAGTTGAGTAATGAGTTCGTCGTAAGCTCTCAAATTGACGGATCCTGAACAACACGCTCATGCCCACGACGTGATCTTCTACGAATGTCTCTTCCTCGACCAGTTCCGCGACGACGAGCAGAGGAACGCGGATCGCGTCTACGCGAACAACGGGCATAGCTACGCAACGCACGAAGACGAAGCAGCTGCAGCGCTCCTGGAACAGGATACCAGGGCCGAGTTTGCATGGGAAGATCGACGCAGCAGCGACGACGACGTCCCACACCCCTCTCCCCCAGCGGAGGAATGGGCGGAACGGGCAACAGCGGCAGCGGAGGAGGGAGCGGTGGAGCAACAGGAAGCGGCGGAGGCGGAGCACCTCCAGCACCACTTGAACTCAAGAGCGATGACGACGATGTGGTGGAAGTCGTCCCGCAGCATCGCCTCGATAGCACAGTCTCAGCACTGTAGCTGCTCGGGCTTCACGCAGCAACGACGAAGACCCCTAGCATCATCGAGCCTCGAAATCCGCGAGAGGCTCTCTTTGGGCCACACAGCAAGGAATGGCGTGAGGCAATGGACGCTGAAATCAAAGCACTTGAGTCACGCGACACCTGGGTGCTTGTCGACCGAGCAGCAATCAAAGGTGCAAGAATTCTCTTGGGCAAGTGGGTCTTCCGCGTAAAGACCGCAGCGGATGGGACAATCGAGCGCTTCAAGGCGCGCTGGGTGGTTCGCGGCTACAATCAGAGGCATGGGATCGACTTCGACCAAAATTTTGCCCCAGTCAGCCGCCACACCTCCGTCCGCATCCTGCTCGCCATCGCAGCTGCACGGCACTTACCACTTCGTCAAATCGATGTGAAAAACGCATTCCTGTATGCGTTAGTAGATGCCGTGATCTACGTGGAACAGCCACACACCTACGGCAAAGGGGACTCGCGGGTGTGTCAGCTGCGCAAATCTCTCTACGGCATCAAGCAGGCTCCGAGGCTATGGCAGCAGTACCTGCATAACATCCTGCTTGAAATCAGGTTCAAGCAGATGCCACATGACCCAGGAATGTACCGCCGCGACTTCCGCGGTGAATACATTTCCTCACCGTGTACGTCGACGACCTGCTCTACACAGGGTCAACCAACGAGATTCTTGAGCAGTTCGAGAAGGCGTTGGCGGGGCGCGTCGATATCACATGTACCTATGAGGTGAAGCAGTTCCTGGGCCTCAGCGTCTCCTACGCGCCTGAAGCCATTCATCTCACAGCGGCTAAGTACGCAGAGGAGTTAGGGAAGCGGTTCAACATTTCGCCTGCACCCCTCTCAACTCCCTACCGAACTCCCGGACCGAACTACAGCCGTGACAACAAAGCCCTGTCCCCTGCTGGGATTCAGACTTACCAGCAGCAGTTGGGATGCCTCCTCTTCACCTCTGTCACTTGCAGACCACACCTCTCGTATATCGCCAGTCAGCTGGCACAGTACTCACGCAAACCAACGGCTGAGAATCGCCTGGATCTGCAACGCGCGCTCCAGTTCTTCATCTCAACGCCCCAGATTGGGCTGTGCTACTCAACTGCACCGACTCCATCCTTCAATCTCACCGGCTACGTGGATGCACATCACGCAGCAGACCCAGACAATCGACGGTCCAGGACAGGCTTCCTGTTCCGACTCGAGCCCTCGGGACCAATCTCTTGGAACTCGCAGAAGCAGGAGCTGGTTGTCTTGTCATCGGCCGAAGCGGAATTCATCGCAGCAACCGCAGCAGTTCGCGAGGGCCTCTACCTGCAGGAACTGCTGCAGGAGGCAAAAATTCCGACTTCGCCGACCTTTCACCTCCACTGTGACAACCAGAGCGCGATTCGCATCGCGAACAAACCTGGTTTCGTCAACCGCACCAAGCACATTGTGCTGCAGTATTTCTTCGTGAAGGACGAGGTGGACAAGGACAAGGTCAACCTGACCTACTGTCCGACCGGTGACATGGCAGCCGACTTTCTCACAAAGCGACTGCCACGCCAGCAGTACCAGCACTGTTCCGAACTATGCGGCGTGGTCAAGCGGGTCAAGTCGAGCTACGGCCAGGAGTGAAGGGGGGTGTTACGAATAGTAATACGTGATATGACTGTGCACTCCTTACCGCAGCAAAGAGAAGCACGCAGTACCGAGAACGAACATGAAGTGTCAGACAGTTGGAAATGAAGTGAAGCGTCAGACGGTTACAGCACATCTGGACCGTCGGGAGCAGACGACATCGGGCAGCTGTAGGCAGGATGGGCTTGGCGGGAACAGTTACAAAACTGTACGCGCCGCACGGTTGGGAATGAATTTGAATAAGGGAATGTACCCCTTAGAGTACATGGCTAGCTAGGTCGTTTCGTATTCCCCTGTATTCTTATTTATATTCCTTGTACTGCATGTTTTCATTATCTCAAGCATTTACATTCACTCTGCTATTGAGGTCAAGGGCCCACCAACACTACCTATTTGTGTGCGAACCTTCCTGAGTAGATCCTGGGCTACGATCAACTTCTGATCGCAGCACCATGCATGTTCCCCCTGCTTCGCACCAACGTTTGCTGTTTCTATCTGTGCTTTGTTGTGCGTTCCATTTCTTATGTACCCTGCTCTCCTCCTCCCCCTCCCATTCTCCCTGTTTCCCCTTTCTTTCCCCTCCAATCCACCTGCCTTCCCGCCTCCTCATTTCTTCTCCCCACTCCCTCCCCCCTCCCTCATGCGACCTGCCATCATCTCACAGGCCACGACAACCTGCTGGAGAGGATGGCAAGAGGGCACGATGGTAGGATGGCAGGATGGCAGGATGGCAGGATGGCAGGAGGGCAGGATGGCAGGATGGCACGATGGCAGGATGGCAGGGCGACAGGGCGGCAGCCATGCACCACGGGCGTTTGCAGTGGGTCCGCGCAGCCATTTCGATCAGACAACCATGTCGTCGCCTTAGCAACTGACCAGACAGCCTTAGCGTTCTGTCAAGTGGCCGTCGGCATTGCCTTCCTCATCGTCACTTTCAGCACTGGTGGGAGAATTGACTTCTCCCGACCTCCTCCTCTCCCCTGCTCTTCAAGGAAGCGCGTTCTCCCGCGGTTAGATGGCCGACGCCTTCCTCGAGGTGGGTGAGAGGGTTGGGGAGGGGTGGGCGCGGGAGAGGGGAGTTGTGGGTGCGGGGATAGGGCTGGGGGTAGTTGGGAAGGGGCTGGGAGATGGTTGAGGGAGTTGTGGAGGGGGGTTGGGTTGGGGGAGGGGGGTGGTGAGGGGGCATGGAGAACGAAAGCGGGTGTTCCCGCGACGAGATCGGACGGCTTCGTCGAGGTGCGGGAAAGGGGCGGGGAAGGGGTGGGCGCGGGGGAGGGGAGATGTGGGGGCAGGGAGAGGGCTGGTGGCTGGGAGTGGGCTGGGAGAGGGGAGAGGGGGGGAACAAGAGGGGAGGGGGGGGGGGGGGAGTAGGGAGAGCGATGGAAGGCATGGACAAAGAAATCGGGTGCGTTCGCAACAAGATTGCAGACGCATTCCTCGAGGTGCGCCGCGGGAGAGGGGGGGAAGGAGGGGGAGGGGGGGGGGGAGGTGGGAGTGTTGGGTTGGTTGGTGATGAAAGTGAGAGGGTTGTGCAGCGAGGAGAAATGAGTGACGACGGGGATTGCTAGCAGTCGTTTTTCGCTCGAGTCCCAACCCAACCCCTCTCACTTCTCCACTCTCCGCCACCCGTGCGACATGGATCGCTCAAGTGTGCACACACTGTGCGACATCCCCAAACCTTGGTCTCCCTGCCTGTTCCCCTCTGCGCCATTCCCACTCTTTCCGCCTTCCTGAATGTGCACCGGGGAAGATGTGTGAGGACTTGTGCCAGCAGTAGCAGACGGCATGTTGCTGCGCAAGCTTGGTTTGGGTTGTCTCAAAGCAACCAGGCCTTTTCTCTCCCCTCTGTGCCTGACAACCTCCGTCACCCTGCCCCTCCGTGTTCCCGTCTCCACCCCCCCCCCCCGCTGCAGGTGTGTGTGTGAGTGTGTGTGTGAGGGCTGTGTGCCAGCAGACTGCATGGTGTTGTGCAAGCTGGTGTCGTGTGAGGAGGACCATATACCAGCAGTAGCAGATCGCATGGTGCTGCGCAAGCTGGTTTCAAGTTGACCCCTCCTCCCACCTCTTCCCCCTTTCTCCCTCCGCCAGGTGTGTGAGGACGTGTACCAGCAGACCGCATCATGGTGTTGCATAAGCTGGCGCAGGACATGCGCGAGTGGACACACCGGTGGGTGAGCCATGGGATCAGGGATGATTGTGGGGGATACAGGTAAGTGTTGGGGGGATGGGGAGGAGGGGAAGAGGGGATTAAGGGAGAGGGGGGGATAAAGGGTGCCTCGCGGGTCATGCGCGAGTGGCCGCACCTACGAGGGAGTGAGGGCAAGGTATGAGGGTATAGGTACGATATCGAAGGGTTGACAGAAGTTAAGGCGTAAAGGGGTCTGGGGGTTGTAAGTGGTGATGGCCCAGTCAAAAAGGTGAGCTCGAAGATGCAACTCGTGTGAAAGTTGTCCTCTGTTCTCTGCCACGTATCTCCCACACCCCTCTCCCGCACCCCTCTCCCCCACCCCTCTCCCCCACCCCTCTCCCCCACCCCTCTCCCACACCCCTCTCCCGCACCCCTCTCCCACACCCCTCTCCCCCACCCCTCTCCCACACCCCTCTCCCACACCCCTCTCCCACACCCCTCTCCCACACCCCTCTCCCACACCCCTCTCCCCCACCCCTCTCCCCCACCCCTCTCCCACACCCCTCTCCCGCACCCCTCTCCCACACCCCTCTCCCACACCCCTCTCCCACACCCCTCTCCCACACCCCTATCCCACACCCCTCTCCCACACCCCTCTCCCACACCCCTCTCCCACACCCCTCTCCCACACCCCTCTCCCACACCCCTCTCCCACACCCCTCTCCCACACCCCTCTCCCCCACCCCTCTCCCCCACCCCTCTCCCACACCCCTCTCCCACACCCCTCTCCCCCACCCCTCTTCCACACCCCTCTCCCACACCCCTCTCCCGCACCCCTCTCCTGCACCCCTCTCCCGCACCCCTCTCCCCCACCCCTCTCCCCCACCCCTCTCCCCCACCCCTCTCCCGCACCCCTCTCCCACACCCCTCTCCCACACCCCTCTCCCCTGACCCTCTCTCCCGACCCTCTACCACCCCACCCTACCCTTGTTAGGAGGAGCCCCCGAGGAGGAGGCAAAATTCGGTGGCCGGCACACATCCCCTCTCCCCAACACCCCGCCTTTAAGCTTCTCTCCCAACCCTTCCCCCCCTCTTCACCCCCCGCCCCCTCTCTCGGTCTCCCCTATTCACGCTCCCCCCTCGCTCTGCTGCTGTCAGGAAGAGCCAGCCCCCGAGGAGGCAGTGTAATCCGGTGGGCAGCACAAGTTGCATGGACGCGTTTCAAAAGCCTCTCGCAACTCTTCCCCTCCGTCCTCCCCTTCCTAGCAGCTCCTTGTATAGCAACGAGCTGTGGTGTGGGGTCCTCTGTCTCCTGCCTCTGATCTTTTTGCCCCCAAGTCACTCACCTGCCTGTTATTCCCTCCAATCACTTCTTGGCTGCACCACACCACCTTCCCACATACCCTCCTCCCTCCCCCCTTTCATCCCCTCCAACTTTACGTCACCTCCCCTGTCCTCTCCTTCGACCTATCCCTCTCACCCCCTCCCTCCCTCCCTCCCCCCAATCCTCCCCACGCCGCCAGGGACTTGAGCTCCAACTACCTAACTGGCAATGTGCCGCTGGCCGTAACATAGAGTTCGAGCTCCAGTTCAACATCGACTTCTCATCTTGCGTATCCGCGAGGATTGCTCTGTCCTCCCCACTCAGAGTCATGCCCCTTCACGTGTGTCCCAGGTAGATGCTGTTGAGCCTGTCGAGGTCACTGGTGAATCTGGTGCTGCTGCGGGTGCAGGGCATAGGGGTGCTGACTCTGGGGGTGGTGAGCCTGGGGGTGCTGAGCATGGGGGTGCTGAGACTAGGGGTGCTACGCCTGGGGGTGCTGAGCCTGGGGGTGCTACGCCTGGGGGTGCTGAGCCTGGGGGTGCTGAGCCTGGGGGTGCTGAGCCTAGGAGTGCTGAGCCTGGGGGTGCTACGCCTGGGGGTGCTGAGCCTAGGAGTGCTGAGCCAGGGGGTGCTACGCCTGGGGGTGCTGAGCCTGCTGGTGCTGTGCCTGGCGGTTCTGCGGGTCCTTCTTCTTGCCGGGAGCCGCTCTCTCCACAGGAGCTGCGTGAGTGGTTTGCCCGGCGCTGGAGGCGAGCTGCTAGAGCTGGAGGTACTGCGCGTACTGGAGGTTCTGTTGCTGCTGAGGGAGCTGGTGCCACGGGTCATGGAGGTGCTCGTACTGAGAGTACTGGAGCTGCCGGACCTGCGGGTACTTCTGGAGCTGGAGCTGCTGCGGGAGTTGGCGCGGAGTCTACTACTGTCGGTCCTGCTAGGGGTACTGGAGTTGGCGCTGCTACTGGTGCTGGTGCTGCCTCTGAGGGTGCTAGTGCTGTCCCTGCTGTGTCTGGAGTCGCCGCGCGGCCTCGGCCGTACTTCGTTCTGCTACTTCAGCAGGTTCTTGGTCTCCCCTCTTCCACTGGTCCTTCTCCTCCCTTAGAGTGTCCACAGCCTGTCCCGTCGCAGTTACAGTTACAGCCCGCCTCCCCACTGCCTGCTTCGTCTCCCTACACTGGTCCTACTGGAGGTCTTGCTGAGCGTCGTGAGCCTGCGTCTCGCCCTGCGTCACCTGTCCGTGCTGCTCGCACTAGTGGTCGCGGTTCGCGTCAGTGTCCTCCTCCTGTCCCTGGCACGCACCGGATGTCTGTGCGTCCGTCCACTGCTCCTCTGCGTGCCCCTTTGCCTTCTCCTCCTGAGTCTTCTCTTCCTGCTCTTGCCGACCCGGAGTCGGACTCTCTCCGTGCTGCCAGTCCTACTGTAACGCGTCTCCTTGCTACAGTTGTCACTGACCCTTCCTTTGAGTCCGCTGCTGCGTCTGCCTTAGTTGCTGAGCTGGTCGACTTTGCTACCGCTTGTCGTCTAGACTACGTCGCGAGTCTTGTTGCTGAGTCTGAGTCTGCCTATCCTCCGTCCGTCGGGGGTGAGTGTGCTCTTGGCACAGACGTCCTTGAGGACAGGCAGGAGGATTTCGAGTGCTTTGCCGCCGCTTTGCCCCATCTCGTGTCCATGCTTGTTGCCCCTGAGGGAAACCCGGATGCTCCAGACATCCCGACCCCACGCTCTTACGCAGAGGCGATGGCCGGTCCCTACTCCTCTCAGTGGCAGACAGCTATGGACGCAGAGATGGCTTCCTAGAAGTCCACAAGCACCTACGTCGACGAGGTTCCCCCACCTGGGGCGAACATCGTCAGTGGCATGTGGATTTTCAGGGTGAAGCGGCCGCCGGGTTCTCCGCCTGTCTTCAAGGCGCGTTACGTGGCTCATGGCTTCAGTCAGTGGCAGAGAGTTGACTTCTTCCAGACCTTCTCCCCGACTCCGAAGATGACCACTCTTCGGGTTCTGCTGCACGTCGCCGCCGAGCGTGACTACGAGCTCCACTCTCTTGACTTTAGCACTGCTTTCCTACAGGGCAGCCTGCACGAGGAAATCTGGCTATGCCGCCCTCCTGGCTTCACCGGGTCGTTCCTCCTGGTACCCAGTGGAGCCTTCGGCGGCCAGTCTACGGTCTCCGCCAGGCGCCACGCGAGTGGCACGACACACTGAGGACTACACTTGCAGCTCTTGGGTTCGCTCCCTCTACTGCTGACCCGTCGCTGTTTCTACGCACCGACACCTCGCTGACGCCGTTCTACATCCTCGTGTACGTCGACTTCTTGGTCTTTGCCACTGCGGTCACTGTGGCACTCGCCCACGTGAAGTCCGAGCTGCAGAAGAGACACACGTGCACAGACCTGGGTGAACTGACAAGCTATCTTGGCTTGCGGATCACCCGGGACAGAGCACGCCGCACCATTACCTTGACTCAGTCACACATGGTGCAGCAGGTCCTTCAGCGCTTCGGCTTCACGTACTCCTCGCCTCATGCCACTCCTCTGCCTACTCGCCACTCGCTCTCAGCTCTGCCTTCGGATGAGTCCGTAGAGCCGAGTGGCCCGTATCCAGAGCTTGTGGGCTGCCTCATGTACCTGATGACCTGCACTCGACCTGACCTTGCATACCCTCTTTGCATCCTTGCATGCTATGTCGCTCCTGGCCGTCACCGGAAGGAGCACATGGATGCAGCTAAGAGGGTGTTGCGCTACTTGTGCAGTACGTCGGGCATGGGGCTAGTGCTTGGAGGGCGAGACCGAGTTGTACTCGCTGGGCACTCAGATGCTTCTTGGGCTGACGACCAGGCTACTCAGCGGTCGTCTCAGGGTTACACCTTCAGTCTTGTCTCTGGCTCAGTCTCTTGGCGTTCTACACGCTCTTCTTCTGTTCTCAGCTCCAGTTGTGAGGCTGAGATCTACGCCACGGCCATGGCTGCTCAAGAGCTACGCTAGCTCACCTACTTGCTGACTGACCTTGGAGAGCGGCCTCGGTCTCCTCCAGTGCTGTACGTCGACAACAAGGCAGCCATTGCCTTGTGTGAGGAGCACAGACTGGAGCACAGGACGAAGCACATTACTCTGCGCTACTTCCTTGCTCGAGAGTTGCAGCAGCGTGGTCAGCTTCGTCTGCGTTACGTGGCCACTGAGGCCAACACTGCTGATGTGTTCACCAAGGCACTTCAGCCTTGTGACCATCAGCGTTTTTGCACTCTTCTAGGGCTTGTGCCCATTGGACCTAACTTGCTCACCTCTTGACCTTGCTTGTACTGTTACATATATATATATACCTGCTCTTGCTTGTCCAGCACTGTTATATATATGTACTCCTGCATGTGAACTGGCCTTGTGGCCTTGAACTTGTGCTCAGAACGTGTGGTGACATTGTGATCCACCCTGAGCTTGCTTTGCTTGACTGGTCTTGTGACCCCTTGTTCTCCCCAACTTTGCCTATGGGGGTGTGTCAGAACATTATAGCTGATGCATGTTATCTAGGCTACAGTGGGGTAGCCCATAAGGGGTACAACCCAATTAGGGTTAGTACTTGTACTTGTTTTCATTCATAGTTCACTCATTTCACGTCCTGATTCTAAGACCGCAGGTCCAGAAGATTCTCAGCCATTGGTTTGCGTGAATACTGGGCCAGCTGACTTGCGATGTAGGAGAGGTCTGGCCTGCAGGTGACAGAGGCAAAGAGCAGGCATCCCAGCTGCTGCTAGTAAGTCTGAACTCCAGCAGAGGATAGGGCTTTGTTGTCAGGTTTGTGGTTCGGTCCCGGAGTTCGATAAGGAGTTGAGAGCGGTGCAGGCGAGATGTTGAACCGCTTCCCTAACTCCTCTGCGTACTTAGCCGCTGAAAGGTGAATGGCCGCAGGTGCGTAGGAGATGTTGAGGCCTAAAAACTGCTTCACCTCGTAGCTGCAGGTGATGTCGACGCGCTCCGCCAAGCTTTTCTCAAACTGCTCGAGTAACTCGGTGCTTGATCCCGTGTAAAGCAGCTCGTCGACGTAGACCGTGAGGAGAATGTACGCGGCGGTACATCCCTGGATCGTGCGGCATCTGCATGAACCCGATATCAAGCAGGATGTTGTGTAGATAATGCTGCCAAAGCCGTGGTGCCTGTTTTATCCCGTACAGGGATTTGCGCAGCTGGCATGCTCGCGAATCCCCTTTGCCGTATGTGTGCGGCTGCTCCACTTAAATCACGGCGTCTGCTAGCGCGTACAGGAACGCGTTCTTCACGTCGATCTGGCGGAGAGGCAGGTGCCTCGCAGCTGTGATGGCGAGCAGGATTCGGACGGAGGTGTGGCGGCTGACTGGGGCAAAGGTCTGGTCGAAGTCGATGCCGTGCCTCTAGTCGTATCCGCGTATCACCCAACGCGCCTTGAAGCGCTCGATCATTCCGTCAGCTGCGGTCTTCACGCGGAAGACCCATTTCCCAGAAAGAACTCTTGCACCTTTGATTGCCGCATGGTTGACTAACGGCAGTGGAGGCAGAGGCGGCGGCGGCGGTGGCGGTGGGAGTGGAGGTGGTGGAGGTGGCGGAGGTGGTGGAGGAGGAGAAGGAGGTCGTGGCTCGTCGCAGAGGAGTGGCTCTGGTGGTGG